AAGCATGGGGAGCTGATCAATTTTGAGGACGTGTCAGATTTACGAGATCGGCAGGGAAGATTTTTATTGTTACCTACAGGTTCGGAGCTTCTTCCGGAAGGAAATTAGAATGCTTGACGCAGATGCTAGTGGGGTGATCCAAATATTTGTGGATGCTTATGGTGTGAACCTTATAAGAGGTACTATAGGCAAAGTGTACAGAAGTTTCATATCTATGAAAAAGAGCTCAACAACATATGTCAGTCATCGATTATATAAAGCACCCCGAGGCATAAATTCTTTAACATGGCGAGATTTTGGATGGCAGAATTTAAGTAGATTCTTCATCACACCAAAGCAGAAATCCAAAATAAGTGGTTCAGGCGCTTCGAGGGAGTGCGGGGAGGTCGCTGCAGGTTGCTTCCATGTCTTCTGGTCATGCCCTAAACTGAAGACCTTTTGGGAAGAGATAAATACTGGTGGATGTGCTTGAAGTAACACTGGACTTCACATTTAGTACCATGTACCTTGGGAAAACTCCTGAAAATAATTATGGTTGCATGCAAAAAGGCAATTACTAAATGTTGGTTGCAGACAAGCCCCCCCACACGGAAGCTGGTCATAGACATTATTAACGTAATCCATCATATGGAATAGATTACCTTCTCACTGCAGCTGCAGAGGGAGAAAGGAGAGAGACTTTGGGAAAGATGGGATCGTTACACTTTAACGTTCTCAAGAACCAGACGTTTTGATCTCAGTTTGTCCGTTTATTCCGTAACACAGGCAAACGGGCCGTTAACTCAGGGGAGAGTGCCCTCATATAACACCTCACTTCAGCCGCATACAGTCACACAACAACGAAGACCCCCTCCCCTTCCTGCACACATTAACTCCCTTTTTCCTGCAGCACAACCAAGTATGTATCTTAAAGAAACAACAACAGCGTGCAGAGATAACCAACCTGTCACTGTAAAATAACATTTAACCATCGTTACAATATGTTAAAACTAGAAAGTGATACCTATGTGATGCAGAGGAAGACCCGCGATTTTGTTTGAATGGAACATTACCTGTGTAATATGTGTAAGTAAAACAAGGTGATGTGTAGTTGGGGCTGGGCAATATGTCGAGGTTTTTTAAAAATATCGATATATTTTTATACGAGATATAAGATGTGACAATATCCTTTATATC